ATATAGAGGAATCAGGACCTCCTTCCTCCTGCTGGGGACCCCTCTAGTGATAATAAAGATCTATATAGAGGGATCAGGACCTCCTTCCTCCTGCTGGGGACCCCTCTAGTGATAATAAAGATCTATATAGAGGGATCAGGACCTCCTTCCTCCTGCTGGGGACCCCTCTAGTGATAATAAAGATCTATATAGAGGGATCAGGACCTCCTTCCTCCTGCTGGGGACCCCTCTAGTGATAATAAAGATCTATATAGAGGGATCAGGACCTCCTTCCTCCTGCTGGGGACCCCTCTAGTGATAATAAAGATCTATATAGAGGGATCAGGACCTCCTTCCTCCTGCTGGGGACCCCTCTAGTGATAATAAAGATCTATATAGAGGGATCAGGACCTCCTTCCTCCTGCTGGGGACCCCTCTAGTGATAATAAAGATCTATATAGAGGGATCAGGACCTCCTTCCTCCTGCTGGGGACCCCTCTAGTGATAATAAAGATCTATATAGAGGGATCAGGACCTCCTTCCTCCTGCTGGGGACCCCTCTAGTGATAATAAAGATCTATATAGAGGGATCAGGACCTCCTTCCTCCTGCTGGGGACCCCTCTAGTGATAATAAAGATCTATATAGAGGGATCAGGACCTCCTTCCTCCTGCTGGGGACCCCTCTAGTGATAATAAAGATCTATATAGAGGGATCAGGACCTCCTTCCTCCTGCTGGGGACCCCTCTAGTGATAATAAAGATCTATATAGAGGGATCAGGACCTCCTTCCTCCTGCTGGGGACCCCTCTAGTGATAATAAAGATCTATATAGAGGGATCAGGACCTCCTTCCTCCTGCTGGGGACCCCTCTAGTGATAATAAAGATCTATATAGAGGGATCAGGACCTCCTTCCTCCTGCTGGGGACCCCTCTAGTGATAATAAAGATCTATATAGAGGGATCAGGACCTCCTTCCTCCTGCTGGGGACCCCTCTAGTGATAATAAAGATCTATATAGAGGGATCAGGACCTCCTTCCTCCTGCTGGGGACCCCTCTAGTGATAATAAAGATCTATATAGAGGGATCAGGACCTCCTTCCTCCTGCTGGGGACCCCTCTAGTGATAATAAAGATCTATATAGAGGGATCAGGACCTCCTTCCTCCTGCTGGGGACCCCTCTAGTGATAATAAAGATCTATATAGAGGGATCAGGACCTCCTTCCTCCTGCTGGGGACCCCTCTAGTGATAATAAAGATCTATATAGAGGGATCAGGACCTCCTTCCTCCTGCTGGGGACCCCTCTAGTGATAATAAAGATCTATATAGAGGGATCAGGACCTCCTTCCTCCTGCTGGGGACCCCTCTAGTGATAATAAAGATCTATATAGAGGGATCAGGACCTCCTTCCTCCTGCTGGGGACCCCTCTAGTGATAATAAAGATCTATATAGAGGGATCAGGACCTCCTTCCTCCTGCTGGGGACCCCTCTAGTGATAATAAAGATCTATATAGAGGGATCAGGACCTCCTTCCTCCTGCTGGGGACCCCTCTAGTGATAATAAAGATCTATATAGAGGGATCAGGACCTCCTTCCTCTACAGTCCCCCTCCACTGTAGCAGTCTAAGAATCCTCGAATCATCACGTTCAATACACTGTGTATTGGATGAAAGGACGCCAACATATCACTGGAGCAGAGGAGGAAACAGGCAGGAGGGAGCACTAACAGGCTGCCGGATCTCAGGTTCAGGTGAGTAGAACTATTTTTGCACCTAGACCAAAGCAAGCACTTACCCCCATCAGTGGGTTGGCCTCACCGCAAAGGTTAAGCAATGTCCCCCCCCCACCCCCAGAGTTCTTTAAACGGCAGTCTGACCAGTCTAGTTCCTCTTTACAAAACAATTACCGGAATATCAACTCTCTTTCTCACCTTTGTGTCAACAAAAAGTCACACCGTACCCTGCCAAGCAAACCTTCAGTTTGATCTCTTAGACAGATATAAATAACAGGACCCCGTATGAAGCGTGTGCGCGGTGCGTTCTATGTGGGCAAAGCCATTAGAGTGCTGTCATGAAGGATCCATGCCTGTATACATTTGGCTGCAAATGGGAAGATGAGCACTCCCTTTGGTCGCCATATTGGTCTATATCACAATATCGAAACTAGTGAGGTGTCACTCTATGGATTGGATTTCATAAAAGAACAAAGGTGATGGTGACCCGGATAAAATAGTATTGCAAAGGGAATTCAAATGGATAAACTACGGGCATCTCAAGCTCCCGGATGACGGAAAACTTTTGATATTTTATGAATAGAGCACCGAAGTTGTAGAAAAGCTCCCAACTCCCTCTAGATTCACTCGCCATGTGATTGTCGGGGGATAAGGAAACCTTCCCTTCAAATTTTAGTGCTGTGATACTTTGAATAAGGATGTTTAATTATGACTGTGTGGTGAAGGATTTTTCCCTCGGCTATGAACCATGATGACCAATTCCAATGGAATACTTACTAACCGTTGAATTAATGAGACCAAAACTTTTTATATTTGTCAACCTTGATTTTCGATGTATATAATCTTTGATGACTCAACATATGAGGAACATTATTGATCATGAGAAATAGATAGATAGATAGATATATATATATCTATCTATCATGTATACATATGAAACTTCTTCATATTTTGTGAAGAGGAGCGAAATAAACCCCAGTTTCTAAAGGACTTCTAGATCAGGGGCGCCCACAATTTTTCGTCTGGAGATTTAATTTTCAAATGGCGAGCTCAATGAGATCTACCAATGAAAAAACACCTGCATTCAGGGGCGGGAGGGGGCGTGGCAGTGCATTGAAGTCAATGGCACCGCAGCCACGCCCCCAGTGCAATCTCCGCACCAGGAATGCAGGCAAATTAGTGCCTGCGTTCTGGTCCAGTGCGATCTGCAAAAATGTTGCTTCTTTGCATATCGTGCTGGACCGGAAGGCAGGCACATTTATGTTCCCCTTTTGTGCGGGCGATCACACTGAGGGTGGGGGGCATGGCTGCGGTGCCATTGACTTCAAAGCTCGCCACGTCCCCTCCCGCCCCTGAACGAAGGGAGCCAGCCAGCTTGCGTTCCAATGCGTTCCCAGAGGCCGAACACTCTGGAACACAGACTTTGTGGTGTGAACCGGCCCTCTCTTCTCTCTATCTCTCCCCTGTTTCTATCTGCTGTCTCTTCTCCCTATGCGGTCTCTTCTCTCACTTTCTCTGCTCTCTCCTGTCTGTCTTTTCTTACCTCCACTGCAGCAGCTTCCTAAGTCTCCTCTCCCCTTCCCGTCTGCGGCGTCTGACACTTTCAGCCGCATGAGCACCGCGGGAGGACAGGACACAGGTCAGTGAGCTGACCGTGATCTACCAGTGTTCGCTTTGCGATCTACCCAATGGGCACCCCTGTTCTAGATCTTCACTGTGGCAGGTTTTACACTCTGAAGGGGAAGGTTCCATTACGCGGGTGTCGGTACCCTAGTACCATTGTGGGTTTCTTCTCTTCCCTACCATATTGCTACTTGGCCATCCATTATCTTGGTGGGGCAGTCCTACCCTGGGTTCCCTCCCTTTAGACTGTAACGATGTTGAACTGATTGGATGGCCCCATGATAGACAGGAAGGGGGGTCTAACAATTTCCTGTCCCAATGGATGTTAGCTAGGTAGATAGCGTCATGATTCTTCTGATGTCATAGTATTAGCGCAGTTGACACCCCCACAGCTGTGGACAAATTCTTACAACTGATATATTTAATGGCACCAGAAAAAT